GTGGACCCGAAGCGTCGACGCGCTTTCCTCCCACAATGAACGCATGTGGATGGTTCAAGACACGATCCACAGAAAGACAGATCTCGCTGTATCGGCACCGGCCGTTACTGTACATTCGGTTTAACAGTGGTTTGGGCTGTAGATGCGTTAAGCTGAGGAGGAGTGTCAAGTGTACAGTTTGCTGGAGAGGCCGCTCTTTCCGTTTGACTATTTGGTGGCTCTTAAAAGAGCCTTTGTTCTTACACAGTGTGGAGACGGAGGGTCTAAGCGCGCTCCCCGCGGATGCGGCGGCCAGCTGGATGTCCTTGGGCATGATGGTGACCCGCTTGGCGTGGATAGCGCACAAGTTGGTGTCCTCAAACAGCCCCACCAGGTAAGCCTCGCTGGCCTCCTGAAGCGCCATGACGGCAGAGCTCTGGAAGCGCAGGTCCGTCTTGAAATCCTGAGCGATTTCCCGCACCAGGCGCTGGAAGGGCAGTTTGCGGATCAGCAGCTCGGTGGATTTCTGGTAGCGGCGGATCTCCCGGAGAGCCACGGTGCCGGGACGGTAGCGATGCGGCTTCTTCACGCCCCCGTGGCCGGAGCGCTCTTACGAGCAGCTTTGGTGGCCAACTGTTTGCGGGGAGCTTTGCCGCCGGTGGATTTCCGCGCCGTCTGCTTTGTCCGCGCCATCTTCTGACTCCCGCAAACAAGACGAGCTGTGAATGGCGAGTGCACTGTGAGCAGCGGCTCTTATAGAGGCCACAGCGCAACGATTGGCTGCAGTCAGGGGAGGAGAGAGTCACCGACACAGGGAAGAGAGATCAGCCTCTGAGCTGCGAGCTCCACCTCCAGCTTCTCAACAAGCATTTCAGACAGGGACTGAATCACCCTCACGAATCACATTGAAAATAAGTAGTGATGTGAGAATGATATCAAAACATTGTGACTCCCATTGTTTGTTTTTTAGAAAAATAAGGCCTATTTACGGAAATGCTGACGGTTTCTCTGTGTCCGAGTTTGTCTGAAAACATTCTGAAGACGTTCGACAGCTTCAGGAATCCTGCAGTGGGACGGTTGGCACACTCACCCTCGCAAGCGCGAGGACCTGGGCCAGGGTTTCCGGACGGGGCCAAATGTTAGCAAAATTTCCTTACCCTTCCCGCCTCTGTTTACCGAGCAGTAACTAGGCACCCGCTTGTTAGTCGATTGGCGCATCGCTTTTCCGGTGGTAATAATCCCGTCAATAAAAGGAAAGAAGAATTTGGTCCCTCAATCCTTTGACTGTTTGCGGATTTTCCTCTGTCCATGTTCTGTGCTGCAGTCTCCCGGAGTTTGTGACTGTTTGGCAGCGCAGTGAGTGACAGGAGGCTCTGAGATAGGAGCTCGCCACAGTGTCAGTGTTCTCACAGATAGGACAAAGGAGAAAGGATTTCACTGGTTCTGTCTGTGTACTCCACGGTTAGTAATAATAATAATAATAATAATAATCCTTGCATTTGATATTTTCACATTAGGAGGACGTCCCAAAGCGTTTGACAGAACACACTGTAAAGTGAATTGCCTCACAGAAAATTCAAAAAGCCTGCCAGTTTCACTACATTCTCCTTCCCATCAATAGCTACAACAGTGGGAAATATACAGCGGTGGTATCGCAAAACACAGCGTTGATCATTCGGCGAAAAATAGAAAAAAACTGAGAAGTTTCCGAGCTCGAGATTCTGGCTAAACTCTGGCAGTGACACAGACTCTGAGCCTCATCTTATACCTTCAACCTCTAATATTCCATGTCCGTGCCTGTAACATGCTGGGAATTCAGGAGCATTTGCGTTTATTTTGAGGGAAGCCACATTAACAGTTAACAGTAACTCCTTCTGGTCAGTGAGGTTGAATGGTATTTCCCGCGCACATTCCAGCTGGAGAGCTGCTTTAACATTACTACTTGATGGGAAACCATGGGGTTTAGAGGTTCACATGGCAATTGAATTGGGGTTCTTTTGGTTTCCGGTTTGCTTTTGCGAAATTGTTTGAACAATTGGCAATTGTGGGAAACTGCGGGAGGAGCTGAGCTGCGGCAGCTGTTGTGTGTCTGTGTGTGTGTGTCACTGTGACCGTCTCCTCCCCTCGGCAGCTCTGCTCTGCCTTCCTCAGCCAGGTCGGGGCGCCCTGTATAAAAGCAGCCAGAAGCTGCGTGTCCGTCATTCGACTGCTGTTGAGTGGAGGAGAGACATGTCTGGCCGAGGCAAAGGAGGCAAAGGTCTGGGGAAAGGCGGCGCTAAGCGTCACCGCAAAGTGCTCCGTGATAACATCCAGGGCATCACCAAACCAGCCATCCGCCGCCTGGCGCGGCGTGGCGGAGTCAAGCGCATCTCCGGCCTGATCTACGAGGAGACCCGCGGGGTGCTGAAGGTTTTCCTGGAGAATGTGATCAGGGATGCGGTCACCTACACGGAGCACGCCAAGCGCAAGACCGTCACCGCCATGGATGTGGTGTACGCTCTGAAACGCCAGGGCCGCACTCTGTACGGATTCGGCGGCTGAACATCTCCTGAACGTCAAGACACAAAGAACAAAGGCTCTTATAAGAGCCGCCCAAGTGCTCATATCAAAGGCTGTAACTTCCAAACGAAACTCGTCTGGCGTCAGGCGTTTGTCCTTCACTATATATAATGTGGTCGCTCCAGCGGGAGCCCGAATAAGATTGTCCACAGACAAACCACAGCTTAGTGTTTCTGTATCCAACTTGTCATGACTTCTGTTACTATGAATCTCACACGGACAGCCTCCATGTTCCCGAAGGTTATGTTGCTAAGGAGCTGGAGAATTGGAAACCTTGAGCCACGTAGAATGAATAGAATATTACGGCACAGAAGGAGGCCATTCGGCCCATTGTGTCTGCCGGCTGTTTGAAAAGAGCCACCCAAGTCAGTCCCCTGCTCTCTCCCCATCGCCCTGCAAACTGGTTCTCTCCAAATAATGATCGATTTCTCTCATAAAGTGGCCATCGGCGTCCACCAGCCTTTCACACAATGGATTCAAGATCCAAACAACTCCTTGTGTGAAAACATTTCTCCTCACCTCCCCTCTGTTTCTTTTAACTCGGTGTCCTCGGGTTACTGACCCACCCGCCAGTGGGAATAGTTTCTCCTTCACTCTATCGAATCCGCTCCAAATTCTGAAAACGCTATTTAAAAAAACCAATAATAAATTGGTCATTTTCAATCCATGACTGTTTGTGGAACACTGCTGTGTGCAATTGGCTGCCGCGTTCGGTCACAAATGTAGAGTCAATACGCTTTGCAGTATATTCTGTGAAGTGCTTTGGGAAGGCTAGGGATGTGAAAAGCGCTGTATCAAATGCAAGGATTATTATTAGTATTATTAAATCTCCGCTTAACCTTTCCTGCTCCAAGGAGAATAATCCGAGCTTCTCAAGCCTCTCCTGATAACTGAAGTCCCTCATTCCTGGTACCATCCTGGTAAATCTCCTTCACATCCTCTCCAGTATCTCGCAGGTTCCCATTGTTAGTGGGACCAAAGGATCTTGTGTCTCATGCCTCAGCTCTACAGCAACAACAAATGACACGATCTTCAGACGGGAATTGAAGGAGGCAAGCTTGGGGGTGAAGTGCAGGGATTGTGGGGTAGAGTTCCAGACTGTGGGGGCAGGGATGCTGAATGCCTGACCACAATGGGATATGATGAAATTGTGTATTGTGGTCTCAATGGCCTATGGTGAGAGGCAGTGGTGGAGATGGGCAATGTTGCAGAGGTGTGGAAAGACGGAACAGTTCATGGCATGAATGAAGGGTTTGAAGGGTAGCTGAAGATCGAAAAGGACACCGAGGTTTCGGATTGGCTCCGTGAGGTGAAGAGTGCAGCCATGAATGGTGGTGTCTGCATTACTGCCGATGTGTCAGCTCATCTTCCATGTTTTCAGTTGTTTTGTGACAGATAGTCCTGATATATGTTCATTGGCACACATACACACTGACTCACACACGTACATACCCATGCATACACACGTACACACATACTAACGCATTCACACACACATATATATATGCACATATATACCTACAAACGTACATACACACACACACACACACACACATGCACACTTAGACACACACACGAAAACATACACACACACACACATTCACACACACACACACATGCACATGCACACTCACACACACGTACGCACCCACACACATGCACACTCACAAACACGTACAGGCAAGCAGGGCAATGGGAGAGCAGCACAGAGTGGGAGACGCAAACTGTGGGATTGGGAGCAAGAACATTATCAGGCGTGGACGGCTCGGGTCGGGGCGACAGCCATGTGCCCACAGAGGCCAAGAGCGAGCGATCAGTGGGACAGGATCAGCACACGGTCTATGGGTATACACACACAACAGAGACACATAAATTTATCGAATCAAAACCCATTTAATATGCTGTTGAGTGATGCAGTATTGACAATTGTACATCTTACATTAAGTGCACATACTCCACACTCAAAAAATGAACACAAGGCAGAAAATCAGGATTCCTGTTTGCATATTATATTTCAGTTGCTGGAGACAGACACAGGGAACACTTCGGCAACAATCATACTCACTCTGGATAACTGGCCTGGTCTCTGTATAACAGGCCTGGTCTCTGTATAACAGCGCTGGTCTCTGCATAATAGACCTGGTCTCTGTAAGGCTGCTCTGGTCTCTGTATTAGTGGCCTGGTCTCTGTATAAGAGGCCTAGACTCTGTATAACAGCGCTGGTCTCTGCATAATAGACCTGGTCTCTGTAAATCTGCTCTGGTCTCTGTATTACTGGCCTGGTCTCTGTATAAGAGGTCTGGTCTCTGTATAACAGGCCTGGTCTTGGAATAACTGGCCTGGTCTCTGTAAAACTGGCCTGGTCTCTGTATAACAGCTCTGGTCTCTGTATGACTGGCCTTGTCTCTGTATTAGAGGTCTGGTCTCTAAATAAGAGGCCTGGTCTCCGAATAACTGGCCTGGTCTCTGTAAAACTGGCCTGGTCTCTGTATAACTGGCCTGGTCTCTGTATAACAGGCCTGGTCTCTGTTTAACTCGCCTGGTCTCTGTATAAACGGCCTGGTCTCTGTAAATTGGCCTGGTCTCTGTAAAAACAGCCCTGGTCTCTGTATAAGTGGCCTGGTCCATGTATAACAGGTCTGGTCTCTGTATAACTGGCCTGGTCTCTGTGTAACAAGCCTCGTCGCTGTAAAACTGGCCTGGTTTCTGTAAAACTGACCGGCTCTCTGTATAACAGCTCTGGTCTCTGTACAGCTGGCCTGGTCTCTGTATAACAGCTCTGGTCTCTGTATGACTGGCCTTGTCTCTGTATTAGAGGTCTGGTCTCTGAATAAGAGGCCTGGTCTCCGAATAACTGGCCTGGTCTCTGTAAAACTGGCCTGGTCTCTGTATAACTGGCCTGGTCTCTGTATAACAGGCCTGGTCTCTGTTTAACTCGCCTGGTCTCTGTATAAACGGCCTGGTCTCTGTAAACTGGCCTGGTCTCTGTATAACAGCCCTGGTCTCTGTATAAGTGGCCTGGTCCCTGCATAACAGGTCTGGTCTCTGCATAACTGGCCTGGTCTCTGTATAACAGCTCTGGTCTCTGTATGACTGGCCTTGTCTCTGTATTAGAGGTCTGGTCTCTGAATAACTGGCCTGGTCTCTGTATAACTGGCCTGGTCTCTGTAAAACTGGCCTGGTCTCTGTATAACTGGCCTGGTTTCTGTATAACAGGCCTGGTCTCTGTTTAACTCACCTGGTCTCTGTATAAGAGGTCTGGTCTCTGTATAAGAGGCCTGGTCTCTGTATTACTGCCCTGGTCTCTGTATTACTGGCCTGGTCTCTGTATAAGAGGCCTGGTCTCTGTATTACTGCCCTGGTCTCTGTATAACAGCCCTGGTCTCTATATAAGTGGTCTGGTCTCTGTATAACAGCCCTGGTCTCTGTATAGCAGCCCTTGTGTCTGTATTACTGGCCTGGTCTCTGTATAAGAAGCTTGTTCTCTGTATAAGAGGCCTGGTCTCTGTATAAGAGGTCTGGTGTATCAAGCTATAATAATAATAATCCTTGCATTTAATATGTAGTGCACTGTCATGACTTGATGGCATCTCAAAGCGCTTCACAGAATATGCTGTTAAATGAATTGACTGTATATTTTGTTGGTGAAATCCGGCAGCCAATGGTGCACAGCAGTGTGCCACAAACAGGAGTGGATTGAGTGACCGGATTATTGTTCTTGAAAAGATTTCTTGGTCGGCAATAATACCTTCAAGCAGCAGCAAAACACACAGGCTTTTTCGGATGCACACACACAGCAATATCACTTAGACGTGGAGGGATTATCTATTTGATACTCACGTATAGATAGCAAGACATGAACACGGAGTATTGATTCCGTGTTTGTGTACAAGATTAGAGAGCCTCTGAAATGAATTCAAATTAATATGACACACAATCAGTATTCTCACAAATTATCAACTATAGAAACAATCCACAGGCCCACACTTGCAGCAGATACACTGCCACCATCACAAGCAACTCACCTGCAAGCACCCAGTAGCATTCCTAGACATTGCAACACAATACCTTACCAATCAGGATACATTGTTGAAAGGACGTGCACAACCTACAACACAGAGTGACATTTTGTCAGGAACACCAAATTTGAAAGTTTTTTTTTGAGGAGAGTTATTGTTAAATAAAGCCTGTCAACCTTTGCTGTCAATAGGGTTGGACTGTAGAGTGTCACTAACTGATTGGGTATGTTTAAGGGAAAGCTGGAATCCTAGAAAAGTCCTGCATGTTGTGGGTAATGGAAATTTCCAACAGACAGTGTGTCCGGCCTGACTCAGTGGTTGGTCTCTCGCCGCTGGGTCAGAAGGTTGCTGGTTCAAGCCGTAGTTTGGGACATCGTCTCAACTGACTTTCCAATGCAGTGCTGGGGCAGTGTTGCACTGTCGAAGGTGCCGTCCTTTGGATGAAAAGTTAAACTGAGGTCCCGGCTGCTTGTTCAGTTGGAAGATAAAGATTGCATGGCACTAAACTACTTCCAATGTGGGGCATGAACCCACAACCTACTGGCTCAGAGGTGAGGCTGCTAAAACTGAGCCACACTGACAGACGTACACTTTATTGTCTTTCAGATTAAACTTCAGGACATGAGTAAGGAATGTTGTCCACAGCTGATGATGGATATTTCACTGTTTATCTACAGATTTGTGCTCAAGAGGAATATTTGAACTTTGGGCTTCGAGAGAAACAGATCTGAGTTCAACTCCACTCAACATGTTAAAAAGACAACTTACTCACAGGATAACAGGGAGCTCACATGATTTACCTGCAGATTCAGACAATCAGTGGAGTCCTGTAGCTCAGTGGTTAGAGCACTCGCTTTGCAAGCGAGAGACCTGAGTTCAATTCCAGGCAGAGGGCGAAACCTTGGGCAAATTTCCTTACTCCACACAGAGCCTAATAATAATCCCTCCAAAACAATACAATAATAAATTGGTCATTTTCAATCTACGACTGTATGTGGGACATTGCTGTGCGCAATTCGCTGCTGCGTTCGCCCACAAATACACAGCTAATTCACTTTACAATATGTTCTGTGAAGCGCTTTGGGACGTCCTCCTGACGTGAAAAGCGCTATATCAAATGCAAGCATTATTATTATTATAATCAGATGTTACCCACATGAGAACCAAACACAATATCAGAGGCATAGACCATCTGGAAAAATTCAACATTCAGTAGTATTTATCTTGATGTTGAATATCCTGTTATTGAGTGTAGCCTCAGAGAATCAGTCAAACTTTGTAACAAAAGTCGATTTAAAATTAACACTGGATAAGGAGAAACATTATACCATAGTGTCATGTCTGAACTTTCAATGTTCATATACTTACAGAATTTCAGATCGTGTAAAATTATCATATTGCAAGCAGTGACAGGATTATATGTGATTCCAAGAAAAAAAAGAGTTTGTTTGAGTCAATTAATGAGAAGTTCATTTTTGTCCACAATAAAGTCACAGGCTGTTTGTCCCTGTGTGTGTGCACACAGGTGCCCCCTGTCCTGCCCCAGTGTCTCGGCCGCCTGCAGTCACCCGCCGTTCCACACCATTGGAAACCGCACCAAATTCACTCAGATAAAGAAAGGAGTAAATGAGATCCTTCTTCGGGTTAAGATTAAATCGGTTTCATTAAAGTGATTGATGTGCTCATGATTATCATTTTAATTGTGTGCATCACCAGGAGGCTTTCTAAGGAATGAATGTAACCTTGTGGGTGGGTCAGAGCCTCTGTCGCTTGGGGGGAAGCTACCAAAGAGGTATCAAAGAGCAGGAAATGGGAAGACACTGTGTGGTGTTGTAACACGGTAGAAAATAATAATAATAATAAGAATAATCCTTGCATTTGATATATCGCCTCATCATATCTTTGACACGACTCAAATCGCTTCACAGAGTACACTGTAAAGCCACTTGACTGCATTTATTTGGTGAGGGAATCGCAGCAGTCAATTTCACACAGCAGTGTTCAACAAACAGTCTGGATTGAGTGACCAAATTCTTCTTTCCTTTTATTGACGGGATTATTACCACCGGAAAAGCGATGCGCCAATCGACTAACAAGCGGGTGCCTAGTTACTGCTCGGTAAACAGAGGCGGGAAGGGTAAGGAAATTTTGCTAACATTTGGCCCCGTCCGGAAACCCTGGCCCAGGTCCTCGCGCTTGCGAGGGTGAGTGTGCCAACCGTCCCACTGCAGGATTCCTGAAGCTGTCTTCAGAATGTTTTCAGACAAACTCGGACACAGAGAAACCGTCAGCATTTCCGTAAATAGGCCTTATTTTTCTAAAAAACAAACAATGGGAGTCACAATGTTTTGATATCATTCTCACATCACTACTTATTTTCAATGTGATTCGTGAGGGTGATTCAGTCCCTGTCTGAAATGCTTGTTGAGAAGCTGGAGGTGGAGCTCGCAGCTCAGAGGCTGATCTCTCTTCCCTGTGTCAGTGACTCGCTCCTCCCCTGACTGCAGCCAATCGTTGCGCTGTGGCCTCTATAAGAGCCGCTGCTCACAGTGCACTCGCCATTCACAGCTCGTCTTGCTTGCGGGAGTCAGAAGATGGCGCGGACAAAGCAGACGGCGCGGAAATCCACCGGCGGCAAAGCTCCCCGCAAACAGTTGGCCACCAAAGCTGCTCGTAAGAGCGCTCCGGCCACGGGGGGCGTGAAGAAGCCGCATCGCTACCGTCCCGGCACCGTGGCTCTCCGGGAGATCCGCCGCTACCAGAAATCCACCGAGCTGCTGATCCGCAAACTGCCCTTCCAGCGCCTGGTGCGGGAAATCGCTCAGGATTTCAAGACGGACCTGCGCTTCCAGAGCTCTGCCGTCATGGCGCTTCAGGAGGCCAGCGAGGCTTACCTGGTGGGGCTGTTTGAGGACACCAACTTGTGCGCTATCCACGCCAAGCGGGTCACCATCATGCCCAAGGACATCCAGCTGGCCCGCCGCATCCGCGGGGAGCGCGCTTAGACCCTCCGTCTCCACACTGTGTTTGAACAAAGGCTCTTTTAAGAGCCACCAAATAGTCAAACGGAAAGAGCGGCCTCTCCAGCAAACTGTACACTTGACACTCCTCCTCAGCTTAACGCATCTACAGCCCAAACCACTGTTAAACCGAATGTACAGTAACGGCCGGTGCCGATACAGCGAGATCTGTCTTTCTGTGGATCGTGTCTTGAACCATCCACATGCGTTCATTGTGGGAGGAAAGCGCGTCGACGCTTCGGGTCCACGACCCTGCGTCAGCACGGACCCGAAACGTTGACTCGCTTTCCTTTCTCCATTGATGCTGCCCGACCTGCTGCTGTGCTTTGCTTTCAGATTTCCGGCACCGCAGTATTTTGCAGCGGTGTGTGGCTCACATGCATGCGGCATTATTGCAGCGTCTTCGACGCGACGCACAAAGAGGAACTCTGAACTGCACCCGGACTCCCCAAGTCATCCCAAAGCCCGCAATTATTATATCCGCCCATTCAACTTGATGTGGCGTAAGAGATATGGCTGGTGCGGGCCCTGTCTCCGCAACTGCCGAGCGAGCTCCCTGCACTGGAGGTCGCTTTGCTGAAACGGCAAACGGCTCTTTCCTGGACCGTGTGGGTGGCTCTGAAAAGAGCCTTTGGTTGGTTAGGAAAACCTCGGATGATTTACTTCTTCTGAGGATGAGAGGAGGTTTTCTTGGGCAGCAGCACAGCCTGGATATTGGGCAGCACGCCGCCCTGAGCGATAGTCACTCCCCCCAGCAGCTTGTTCAGCTCCTCGTCGTTGCGGACGGCCAGCTGCAGGTGCCGGGGGATGATCCTGGTCTTCTTGTTGTCGCGGGCGGCGTTACCCGCCAGCTCCAGCACCTCAGCGGTCAGATACTCGAGCACCGCGGCCAGATAGACCGGGGCTCCGGCCCCCACGCGATCAGCGTAGTTGCCTTTACGGAGATGTCTGTGGACGCGGCCCACGGGGAACTGCAGTCCGGCCCGGGAGGAGCGGGACTTGGCCTTGGCTCGGGCTTTACCTCCGGTCTTCCCACGTCCTGACATTTTGACTAAGATTCCGACACCAACCAGAGCGGATTCTGTGCTTAAATAGGCTCCGAGCGTCAGGCCCTTCATTTCCTGCCCAATCAGATCTCCTCGCACTGCAGCCCCAGCCCCCTGTCTCTACGTCACATCGGGCTCTCAGCCAATCACAGCACAGAGGCTGGGAGGCTGGGGATTGGTTGCCAACCCCCGGGGTCCCATTGGGGAACCGATTATGCTAAAGAGGGATGAACGGACTGCTTTGCTGGGATTGGATGGCGATAATATATAAGTAGACGTTCAGCCACTGCCCGACACTGTGTCGGTGGTATCAAGAGAGCAGAATGGCTGGTGAGGGCAAAACCGATGCCAAAGCCGCTAAATCCGAGGGCAAAGGAGCGCCCAAAAAAGGCAGCAAGAAAGCGATTCGCAAACCGCAGACTGCGGGCAAGAAGCGCAGGAGGTCGAGGAAGGAGAGTTACTCCATCTACGTGTACAAGGTGATGAAGCAGGTCCACCCGGACACCGGCATCTCCTCCAAGGCCATGAGCATCATGAACTCCTTTGTGAATGACATCTTCGAGCGCATCGCGTCCGAGGCTTCCCGCCTGGCGCAGTACAACAAGCGCTCGACCATCACCTCCAGGGAGATCCAGACCGCCGTGCGCCTGCTGCTGCCCGGGGAGCTGGCCAAGCACGCCGTGTCCGAGGGCACCAAGGCCGTCACCAAGTACACCAGCTCCAAGTGAGGGCTCACAGTCACTCCATCTACACACAAAGGCTCTTTTCAGAGCCACACACCACCTCTCCGACAGAGCTGTAGCAAAAACGCCTTAAACTTGTGTGTGCACTGACGATATACAGCGCCTTGGCTCGTCGTCCCGACCTGAAAGGCACTGTACCAATTTAGTCTGTAGCTCCACCGGTGCTCATTTCAGCTGCCCTCAGCGCCTAACCCTCTCTTGTCCTTCAATCCCAATGTCCTGAGAATGTCTTAAAGCAATGAGAGTAGTTGTGCGAGTACAAGATATCCCCTGTTTTATGTCAATTAATTTCGGAGGCTTGTGATTACTGGGGACAAAGGATTTGTTGGGTGGGGAAGAGAGATATATAAGATATTCTACTGAAATTTCATCAATTTGTATGAAAAATTGTATCAATTTCAAATTATATCAATTTCATCAATCCTTTGTCCGCAGTAATCACAAGCCTCCGAAATTAATTGACATAAAACAGGGGGATATCTTGTACTCGCACAAATACTCTCATTGCTTTAAGACATCCTCAGAAATCTGAAATTCCAACCCTATTGACAGCAAAGGTTGACGGGCTTCATTTAACAATAACTCCTCAAAAAAAAACTTTCAAATTTGGTGTTCCTGACAAAATGTCACTCTGTGTTGTAGGTTGTGCACGTCCTTTCAACAATGTATCCTGATTGGTAAGGTATTGTGTTGCAATGTCTAGGAATGCTACTGGGTGCTTGCAGGTGAGTTGCTTGTGATGGTGGCAGTGTATCTGTATAACTGGCCGGGTCTCTGTATAACTCGCCTGGTCTCTGTATAACTGGCAGGGTCTCTGTATAACTGGCCTGGTCTCTGTATAAAAGGCCTTGTCTCTGTATAACTGGCCTGGTCTCTGTATAACTGGCCTGGTCTCTGTATAAAAGGCCTGGTCTCTGTATAACTGGCCTGGGCTCTGTATAACAGCCCTGGTCTCTATATAAGAGGTCTGGTCTCTGTATAACAGCCCTGGTCTCTGTATAGCATCCCTTGTGTCTGTATTACTGGCCTGGTTTCTGTATTACTGGACTGGCGTCTGTATAACAGCCCTGGTCTCTGTAAAGCTGGCCTGGTCTCTGTATTACCGCTCTGGTCTCTGTATTACTGGCCTGGTCTCTGTATTACTGGCCTGGTCTCTGTATAAGAGGTCTGGTCGCTGTATAAGAGGCCTGGTCTCTGTATTACTGCCCTGGTCTCTGTATAACAGCCGTGGTCTCTATATAAGAGGTCTGGTCTCTGCATAACAGCCCTGGTCTCTGTATAGCAGCCCTTGTGTCTGTATTACTGGCCTGATCTCTGTACAAGAAGCTTGTTCTCTGTATAAGAGGCATGGTCTCTAGAGGTCTGGTGTATCAAGCTATAATAATAATCCTTGCATTTAATATGTGCTGCACTGTCATGACTTGATGGCATCTCAAAGCGCTTCACAGAATATGCTGTTAAATGAATTGACTGTATATTTTGTTGGTGAAATCCGGCAGCCAATGGTGCACAGCAGTGTGCCACAAACAGGAGTGGAGTGAGTAACCGGATTATTGTTCTTGAAAAGATTTCTTGGTCGGCAATAATACCTTCAAGAAGCAGCAAAACACACAGGCTTTTTCGGATGCACACACACAGCAATATCACTTAGACGTGGAGGTCTCTGGTCTCTGTATAACTCACCTGTTCTCTGTATAACTGGCCGGGTCTCTGTATAACTGGTCTGGTCTCTGTATAACTCGCGTGGTCTCTGTATAACTGGCCGGGTCTCTGTATAACTGGCCTGGTCTCTGTATAAAAGGCCTGGTCTCTGTATAACTGGCCTGGTCTCTGTATAAAAGGCCTGGTCTCTGTATAACTGGCCTGGGCTCTGTATAACAGCCCTGGTCTCTATATAAGAGGTCTGGTCTCTGTATAACAGCCCTGGTCTCTGTATAGCAGCCCTTGTGTCTGTATTACTGGCCTGGTCTCTGTATTACGCGAGTTATACAGAGACCAGACCAGTTATACAGAGACCCGGCCAGTTATACAGAGAACAGGTGAGTTATACAGAGACCAGAGACCTCCACGTCTAAGTGATATTGCTGTGTGTGTGCATCCGAAAAAGCCTGTGTGTTTTGCTGCTTCTTGAAGGTATTATTGCCGACCAAGAAATCTTTTCAAGAACAATAATCCGGTCACTCAATCCACTCCTGTTTGTGACACACTGCTGTGCATCATTGGCTGCCGGATTTCACCAAAAAAATATACAGTCAATTCATTTAACAGCATATTCTGTGAAGTGCTTTGAGATGCCATCAAGTCATGACAGTGCACTACATATTAAATGCAAGGATTATTATTATTATAGCTTGATACACCAGACCTCTTATACAGAGACCAGGCCTCTTATACAGAGAACAAGCTTCTTGTACAGAGACCAGGCCAGTAATACAGAGACCAGGGCTGTTATACAGAGACCAGGGCTGTTATACAGAGACCAGACCACTTATATAGAGACCAGGGCTGTTGTACAGAGACCAGAGCAGTAATACAGAGACCAGGCCTCTTATACAGAGACCAGGCCAGTAATACAGAGACCAGGCCAGTAATACAGAGACCAGGGCAGTAATACAGAGACCAGGCCTCTTATACAGAGACCAGACCTCTTATACAGAGACCAGGCCAGTAATACAGAGACCCGGCCAGTTATACAGAGACCCGGCCAGTTATACAGAGACCCGGCCAGTTATACAGAGACCAGGCCAGTTATACAGAGACCAGGTAAGTTATACGGAGACCAGGCCTTTTATACAGAGACCAGGCCTTTTATACAGAGACCAGGCCAGTTATACAGAGACCCGGCCAGTTATACAGAGACCAGACCTCTTATATAGAGACCAGGCCTGTTATACAGAGACCAGGCCAGTTATACAGAGACCAGGTCAGTTTTACAGAGACCACAGCTGTTATACAGAGACCAGGCCAGTTATTCGGAGACCAGGCCTCTTCAGAGACCAGACCTCTAATACAGAGACAAAGCCAGTCATACAGAGACCAGAGCAGTAATACAGAGACCAGGCCAGCCTTACAGAGACCAGAGCTGTCATACAGAGACCATGCCAGTTTTACAGAAACCAGGCCAGTTTTACAGAGACCCGGCCAGTTATACAAAGACCAGGTGAGTTATACAGAGACCAGGCCAGTTATACAGAGACCCGGCCAGTT